TCTTCTTCTTCTTCTTCTTCTCCTTCTTCTTCCTCGCTCTCACTCTCTCCCCCTTCTTCCTCTCTCCCCCCTTCTCTGGTGGCCTAATGGGAAAGGAATTACATGCCTAATTAAAAAAACAGATAGTTTGAATCTTCCAGGAGTTCCAGGAGAAAATGATTGGTGGTCTCCTCCCATGTGATAATTTGCTGAAGGGTCAGCTATGAGTTGATTCCACTTGTTTTGGGGGCAGTGTAACCAGAATGCTCCTTAGAGGCAAGAATGGTGAAACTTAATCTCAGATAGTTTGGTTATGTTATCAGGAGGGGCCAGTCTTGGGAAAAGACAGAATGCCGGAAAAGCAAAGGATTGGCAAAGGAAAGGAAGATGCTAACCAGATGGATTGACACAGTGACTCCAGTAATGAGCTTGAGTGTGGCAGAGATCATAAGGTTAGTGCCAGACTGGGCAAGATTCACATCTGTTATGAGACATAGTTGCTGTGGGTCCTAGTTGATTTGATGGCACTTAACAACAACAATATCTAATTGTGTGGACATACCACATTGTGTTTAAGCATTGACAGACTCTTGAGTTGTTTCCATCTCTTAGTTATTATGAGTTTTGCTGCAACAAATATTGAGATCCTGTTTTCAAGTCTCTGAAGCATGTACCCAGGAGTAGGATTATGGGGTCATAGAACTCTATGTTTAACTTTCAGTCTTCTTTTCCCAGTTTCTATGTTGATTTCCTTCTATCTGACATGTGATTAGGTTGTGGGTTGTCAGTATAGTGAGGATATTCATTATAGTATAACCTCAATTGAATGATTGCTTGATTAAATCAGATTGCATTGTGGAAAAGGATTGCGTTGCATTATTTTATAACAAGTAACTTTGCCTCACCTACTTTGGGCATGTTGCTATGAGAGGCTGTTCATGGGAGAGAGACTTCATGCTTGGGAAGGTGGAGGGATCATGAGAGAGCGGAAGACCTTAGACCAGGTGGATTCATAGAGTGACTGCAGCGATGGGCTCAAGTGTGTCAGAAATTGTGAGGATGGCGCAGGACAGGACAGAGTTGAGATCGCTTGTTCATAGGAACACTAGGAGTTGTATTAAATTCAAGGGCACCTAACAACAAAACCAACAACAACAACAACAACAACAACAATGTGTTCTCTTTAATGTTGCTTGATTCAGGAAACTACTAGCCTAGTGTTTGACCAAATAGCTGTAAACCACAAATGAGTGAAATGATCCAAAAGCTTAAGCAGTACAACACTCCTACCCTACAGCTACCCAACTCAAAGCGTTCTCTTCACATATCACTCGACTCTGTTGACTCTGCTGTCTCCATTCAGGCTTCTGGGCAGCAGGAGGCAAATGCAACCTGGCTGGTGATGGAGTTTGTGTTGGTGGGATTCTCCAACCTCCCAGACCTGAGGACCACACTCTTCGCCTTGTTCTTCCTCACGTACATGGTCACCCTCAGTGGCAACGTCACCATCATCACCATCATCCATGTGGACCGTACCCTCCACACACCCATGTACCGCTTCCTGGCAGTGCTGTCCCTCTCTGAGACCTGCTACACCCTGGTCACCATCCCCAACATGCTAGCCCACCTGCTACTGGAGAGTCAGGCCATCTCCATCGCTGGCTGCCGGGCTCAGATGTTCTTCTTCCTGGGCTTGGGGTGTAGTCACTGCTTCCTCCTGACCTTGATGGGTTATGACCGGTACGTGGCCATCTGTCACCCCCTCCGCTACTCAGTGATCATGAGACCCACCATATGCCTCAGCTTAGGGGCCGTGGTCTTCTGCTCCGGCTTCTCCGTGGCCTTGATCGAGACCAGCATGATCTTCTCCTCTCCTTTCTGCCACAGCAACCGCGTGGAGCACTTCTTCTGCGACATCGCCCCAGTCCTGAAGCTCAGCTGTGCTGAGAGCGCCAGCAAGGGGCTGGCCATCTTCTTCCTAAGCATCCTGGTGGTGCTCGTCTCCTTCCTCCTCATCCTCCTCTCCTACACCTTCATCGTGGCCGCCATCGTGAGGATCCCCTCGGCCGCTGGCCGGCACAAGGCCTTCTCCACCTGTGCTGCCCACCTCACCGTGGTCATCGTGCACTTCGGCTGTGCCTCCATCATCTACCTTCGGCCTGACTCGGGGGCAAACCCTGACCAGGACCGCCTGATTGCTGTCTTCTACACGGTGGTGACGCCGCTGCTGAACCCCGTGGTGTACACGCTGCGGAATAAGGAGGTGAGGGTGGCTCTGAGGCGGACCCTGGCGCGTGGCTGTGGGTCTCAGACCTTTTAAAGAATGACTCGCTCCACTTCTCCATTCTAGCTTTGGAGTCATGTGTTGTTCTTTGCTTAAGAGGAATTTTCCTTTTCTGGGAATTGTTGTTGGGGGCCATTGATTCAACTCTGACTCAACAAATCTAGGCCTGGCCTGGCCTTGCCCCAGCCTCCCAGCCCTCACTAGGCTTCGGCTCATTGTCGCTGTGACTGGACCAATCCAGCTCATTGAGAATCTTCCTCTCCTTTGCTGACCCTTTACTTTTCTAAGCATGATGTCCTTTTCCAAGGACTGCGCCCTCCTGAAAACATGCATAAAACATGAGAGACAAAGCCTTAACTATATTTGCCTCTGAAAAGCACCATGCCAGTGTTCCTGCCTAAACAGATCTGTTTATTCTTTCAGCAGTCTATGTACTCTCCAACGAGCACATAGAGATTTTTGGATGAGAGACACCGGGTTGCTATGAGTCGCCTGCGACTTGACGGAACTTAACAACAACAACAACAACAACAACAACCAACTAAATTATTGAGGAGCAATGATATCAGTTTGAGGACTAAGGTAATGTTATTTCTGACCACTTGATATGCATCTGAGAGTTGGAAAACGAACAAAGATGACAGAAGAAGAATTGAGACTTTTGAGCTGTGGTGTTGGAGAAGAGCACTGACTCTGTCTTGGCCTGCCAAAAGAACAAGCAAATATGTCTTGGAGAAAACGCAGCCAGAGTGCTTCTTGGAGGCAAAGATGATGAAGCTACATCTCACATACTTCAGTCATGCTCCTTGGAAAGGGACATTATGCCTGGAAAGGTGGAGGGTCTGCGAAAGAGAAGAAGGATGGATGCAGATGGATGGACCTGGTGACTGCACAACGGGCTCAAGTGTATGAGGACGTGTGAGGGTGGCACAGGACGGTGCCAGGCTCAGATCTCTTGTTCATAGGCTCACTACAATGGCATCTAACAACAACAACAACAACAAGAAGACGGGACTAAAGAGGACACTACCATATCTTTTCTTATTTAGATTTTTTTCCCCAACTCATCACAACTCATTTTATTCTTATTTAGATTTTAATACAAGTTTATAAGAACTTGGATTTCCATTCATTCATTGTTGCATGTTTTCCTCCCTGCCCATCCCCCCATTCACTTTTCTCTTTGAAAAAGAAAAATTCTTTCATTGTTGTACAATCCCCACTCTCACTCCCAGTCTACTTTACTATGCAGCTCTTATTCTGGACTGTTATAATGCAAATAATAGCTAATCATATGCTCCTTTTAAGCAGTTCTATTCCTCATCTGTTTCAGTGCAGTGTATATTATTTATCCCCTCTTTTCTTAGTTTCCCCCAACCCTCATGTCAGTTCTGTTTTGTAACAGTTTTATGCAGTATCCTTTTGTAACCGAGATATTTCATTCAGCAACATGTCCTCCAGGGTCACCCATTTTGTATATTTCATGAGTTTCTTGTTTTTCATTGCTGCATAGTATTCCATCGTGTGAATATACCACAGCTTCTCTATCCATTCATTTGTTGATGGCGCTTGGGTTGTTTCCATCTCTTTGCTATTGTGAACAATACAGCAATAAACATGCATGTGCATGTATCTGCTTTGGTGGCAGTTCTGATTTCTTTAGGGCCTATTCCCAGTAGTGGAATTGCCACTACCATATCTTAAATGAAGAACTATGTGAGATACTTAACAAAGTGCCCAAAATGTAATAAAGGCTATCATTTCTCTCTATCTTACTATCTTGACTTAGTCATGATCCAGTGTGATCCACGGTGTATGGTGGGAATCAGTGGAGGGGGACACTATTCTCTGGGCAGTGGAAGAATCAGTAGTCCTTTGTCCAGCATTCTTTATTTTATCCCTGAAAGATTATTCACTCTTGTTTAATTAGATCATGCTGGTGGATTGAAATCTTACAAAGGATCCTATTCACAAGGGAATTAAAGGAGAAAGCAATAATAAAGGGAAAAGTGGAAACTTCACAAATATGTGAATTACATTTTCTTTTTTTAATTGGGAAAAACATAATAGGGGTACAAGGAGGTGAGGGTTGGGGGCAGAAGGGTGAGGATGGGCAGGGATGCAGTTGCAGAGCTGCACAATTTGGTTGGTGGCGGGAGCAGGTGAAAGAAATGAAGAGGATCCAGTGGGGACCAGATGCTACAGGGGAATGGTAAGCATTTTCCAATGGCAATTAAACCAACTGTCTTATTGATTTGGGAACTGGATGCAGACTATCTGGCTTCTTCATGCTGAACAGGGGCATTGATGTGGAGGGGGAAAGGGAGGACACTTTATCACCTCACTGGTGGTCTTGGGTTAAAGCTGCTTGCCTTCTTGTTCTGTTAGAAGATATTTTCCTGTCATTTGCTCCCCTCTGGACTGCAAAGTGTTTTCCCAGGTGGGTCCAGTGGGGATGGCTGGTTGAACCCAAAGGTTCCATCCTCCTTTGCTTGTTTAGCTGGCAGTTGTATTTCCTTTTTGTCCCTGGCACTGGGTTCAGGGTCAGGTCTGGAATAAAACTCAGTGTTAAGGTTACCTACAGGAAAGGGAGCAAACCTAGAGAGAACAAACTTGTGAGTTACAAATAGAAGGGCTTTGGGGGTGTTGCTTTCAGGTTTACTGGTGGAGAGGGTGGCGGAAAGTAGCCTAGATAAAATTCTCTGGATACCATTTTCTTAAACAGAGGAAATTATAAGTGAAATCTGAAAATACTTGCAAGCAAATGAAAACACAATGTAACAAAACTTAAGAGATGCAGCAAAAGTAGTATTATGAGGGAAATGTATAACTCCCAAAGCCTGTGTTCTAATGGCCTAGTGGTAAGGCGTTGTGCTGCCAACCCAAAAGTTGTCAAGTCAGTCCAAATTCACCAATTGCTCCATGAGAAAAAGAGGGGCAGTCTCCTCCTGTGAGATCTGTAGTCTTTGAAAACTCACTAGAGAATCAGCTACGAATCAATTCTAATGTGACAGCACACAATAAAAATACTGATGCTTAAGGGAGCTCTGGTGGCCTCCTGGCAAGAAGCTGTGCTGTAATCCCGAAAGGGCACAGTTCAAATCCAACAGTGGGAGAAGGATGAGCAATGTCCTCCTGTGCAATTAACTGCCTCTAAAAACCCACTGGAGGGTCAGCTATGGGTCATATTCAACTCCATGGTATGCAACAACAACAAGAGTGTTCTGATGGCCTAGCAGTAAGAAGTTGCACTGCAATCCCAAAGAGATGCGGTTTGAACTCATCAGCTGTTCCGTGGGAGAAGGATGGGCAGTCTCCTCCTGTGCAATTTACTGTCTCTGAAACCCCCTGGAGGGTCAGCTACGAGTTGGTTCCAACTTGACAGCACACAACAACAACTACAACAACAATAACAAAACATTAAAAAGAATGTAGGTCCATATATGAACTTTATAAGCAAACTGGTATAAAATAAAAAAATATTTAAATAAAAAACAAAAGGAAAAAACCATACCCAAAAAAGTAAACTACCTTTATCTTATATAACCATAATACAGAAAGTCCATAACTTCACTACCATGCTTTTAATTGAGTACAATAATACTAACATTGACTTAGGTAATTTCAGAATTAAACATGCCCTTCAAAATTAAAAAAAAGGGAATGTAGATCCAAAATCAATATCCTAACTTAATGCTTAAAGTGTAAAGAATTAAACAAAGAAAAAAAAAAGAATTAGACAAAGGAACACTTTAAACACTGGTATTAGGGCTACCATCATGAAATTTCCATCAAACGATCACCTGAGCCTAATGTACTGTATCTTCCATTCATTTGCCAAAGTCCTCTGCATCCTGGTGGACCAACATGCATAAGTCACACTGAGGGGCTGTGTGTCTTCTCACTTCCTGTCCAGTTTGGTTAATAGGAGGCCCTGGAAGGAGATGGAGGGTGAGAGGAGAGAAAGTTTGTGGTCTCGCTCTCCCACTAGCCCTGGATATTCTTCTCTTTAAGCAGAACCTACACCCTCCTTCTCGAGAGGACTGGCTTCCCTCTTGCACCATCAGGTGGATAGACGCTAACAGCTCTGGAGTGTTACAATGGTTGGTTTTGAGCCATGAAATTTGGAGTAACTTGTTACACCACAAAAGATAACCAATGCATGGGCTGTATGAGTGTGTGTGTGTGTGTGTGTGTGTGTGTGTATGTGCATGTGTGCGTGTGTGTGCACACATTCACACAAGTGAAGGGCTTCCTCTCTTCTCTGTGGCACACATCTCTGACTGGCTTCACTGTATTTCGGTGCATAGAGTAGGCTTTCAGAGGCTCCCTCAGCTCTCATGTACCATGAGAGGGATCTGGATAGTCCCTTGAACTCTGGACAGGCACGAACAGTTGGTAGGTCCCCTATGTGGCAACACAGTTGTTGCTATTTACCGTCAGGTCAGAAGCAACTCATTGCTGACCCTCCAGTGGCTTCTCAGGGGCATTTTATTCCTCCAGGAGGAGATTGACCATCTTTCTCCCATGGAGCAGCTGGTGAATTTGAACCGTGTGCCTTAGGGATTGCAGCACAGCTTCTTACCACCCTGTGGCAACACAGAGTCACATCAGAGAAGATTTACGTGGCTGAAACTTAGCATGGCTTGTACCTTCATGACAAATTAAGGTGGTTTCAGTTCGCCAAAGAGAAAGATGTGAGATAAATTCTCCTCAGAGCCTCCGAAGGGCTGATGGCCTAAGAGAACTCTGGCTTCCACAAGTGAGAGACAGTGAATCTCTGTTCACACAGGTCGTCAAAGGGTGGTGCTTGCTTAAAGCACTCAGGAGGTACTAATATAGTAACTTCATTTTCTTCTAGAGACTGATAGGAGGATGTGCACATGATTCAAATCTGGCAAATGAAAGTGGAAGAAAAGTCCGAGGAGGACCATTCTATGTTTTACATTTGTGGGTGTTTTTTTTTTAAATTCAACTTTTAAAAACTTTGTTGTTGTTGTTGTTGTTGTTGTGTATCGTTGAGTCAGATCCGACCG